TTTTGAAACATTTCATATTTTTGGGTTTCTAGAACTAGTGCAACATGAACTTTTTGTAGTTTGGCATCTTTTCTTAACCTTTTTTTTTTATTGGCAATTTAGTTTCTAAATTTTAAAATGAGTAGCAATTAACTCTGACCGTAATGGGAATTAAATCTTAGAAAATTTCACGACTAACTCGAGGATTAAATTAAGAAGAAAATAATTTCTCACAAACTAAACGTGCCAAATTATTAGACAATTAAGGGCACGAGTGCTAGAAAATTATTGTAATTAATATTAATTGGAGTTAATTTGCTTTTTGTAAATAACATATTCGTAGATAATTAGTATGGGACTCTGATTATTTCTAAATATTATCTAGATGAGCAAAAGGACACAATTGAATACATACCAGGTGTGAGGGTTATAGAGCAAAAGGACTTGCCATCATATCTTCAACAAACTAATACGGAGGGGCAACAATTCTTAGATAAGGCATTTAAGGAAGTCAAAAAAGCAGATTTCATACTTTGCAACACAGTCCAAGAGCTTGAATCACATTCCATTTTTGTCCTTCAAGAGAAAAAATCCATATATGCAATTGGTCCCCTACTTAATTTTCCAAATGGGTTCACTAAGAGAAATATTGTTCCCACAAGCATGAGGACTGAGTTTGACTGCAGCCAATGGCTCAACACAAAGCCTCAAGGTTCAGTTTTGTACATCTCGTTTGGTAGCTCCATTCCTTCTCAAAAGAGTGACATTGAAGAAATAGCACATGGGCTTGTGAAAAGTGGGGTGAACTTCATATGGGTTCTTCGTCATGATTGTGTGAGTTTTGAAGAGCCTTATTTTTTGCCAATTGGGATTCAAGATGAGATCAAAGGTAAGGGTTTGGTCGTGACGTGGACCAATCAGATTGAGATTATGTCACATCCTTCAATAGGAGGGTTCTTAACACATTGTGGATGGAATTCGATAATCGAAAGTCTACAATGTTCCGGTGTTCCTCTTTTGTGTTTTCCGCTAAGGGGAGATCAGTTCACCAATAGGAAGATAGTGGTCGATGATTGGGGGATTGGAATAAACCTATGTGATAGTAAGCCGTTGACTAGGGTGGAAGTAGCAGCAAAAATCAACCGTTTGATGCTTGGAAAATCAGCTAACAAGTTGAAGAAAGAGGTAATTAAGGTGAGGCAGATGGTATTGAATGCCTTGCCGATAAATGGTTCATCAGAGAAAAGTTTATCCAATTTTATTATTGACGTGAAGGCCAAAATTAATGGACGAATTGCCGATGATCAATAGGACGAATTGCCGATGATCAATAGGTCAAATGAGATGGAACAGGGTAGCATAGGATTGAGTTTATGAGGGCATGTGTTTAAAAAAATAATGGACAAATTTGACAAATCCTCTTAAAGCTCTTTTCTCTTTTTTTTTT